CCGAGCGGGGGTGATGATGGCCTCAGCAGCCTTTTTTTTTTCTTTTTTTTTTTATTTCATAGATCACTCTCATTTTCATAGATCACTCTAACTCTCTTGTTTGCTCTTCTCTGGCACCTTTCCCCTCCGGTGATCTCTCCCACCGTTAGAAGTAAAGCTTCGTAAATCCTCAAGCCTTAAGCATTAATCTCAGCCTCACTTATCAAGGAAATGGCTTTCTTCTGTGTTAGCGATTTTCTGGTGGCAACTGCAGCAAAGCTTCAGCTTCTAGCAGCTGCTGCTGCACTACCAACACCTCCACTGTGGTGAGAGAAGCAGTTAATACAGATTTAAATAGTTAAGTGAAACACTCCTGCTAATTCAACTTGGAGTTGCTGGTGTGACCCAGCATCAGACAGGAAAAGAAACTCAGGAGACCTGCCTGCCCGCTGCTTAGATGTAACCCCCACTTGCACAGGTCTTATCTGCTGTTTAAATATTACCTAATGGCCCTACCACTATTTCTTAGACTCTCCCTAATGCTGTTTTCTCTCGCCTGCTTCCCTGGACAGCTTAAACATATAATTTTCTTAGCAAAAGGTGAACTTGGATGGCTTGTTCATCTGTCACAGTGCTCTGTCACTGGCGGAGGGGATCAATACCCATCTTTTCCTCTGCGACCACCTGTGGGTGAAGCAGGTGACACTAATTAATTACTTCCAAAATGCTGCTGAATGATGACTTATGTGTGTCTGATCTGATGCCCACCAAAGCCAGGGTGGGCAAAGCAGTTTTCCTACTGAGAGCAATAACATTTGATTGAGGATGGGGTTGGATGGCAGAGCCCCTCTGTGATATAGCTGAAGTGGAAGCGAGTTTATATCAACTGCATCCTCTTTAATCAAGGAGTAGCTGTGAGGAAACTTAGTTGACTGAATTTTCTTGATCACAGGTTGTTATATAGTCAATTTTAAATTAGCCAGGGCAGATTATCTGGTGAGCTGAATTTTCCGTGAAAGCCGAAAGCAAAGACACTGCAGGTGGCTCCTTGTCAGGTCATTCCTGATTCAGCCCATTGGTAGTCAACAAAAAGCTTTCTAAAGAGCTAAGAAGGAGGTAAGAGTGGGCAAAATTCGCTAAGTAGTTTGTTAAGTGGGTTTTAGCACTCATGAAGATGACAATATCCTCATCAAGGCCGGTCTTTGCAACTGCTATCCAGAAGAAGTAGGTATTAGTAAAGTAAATATTGGTGTTGATCACTGTTTATCAGGCTGGTGGAGTATTTGCTGAAGAGCTCTCCTCTGTGTGTGTAGGTGTCTTTGCAAATGCCAAGCATACTGTTAGCACAGCTGCACCATCACTGCTGGGTTTTTGCAGGAGTCCTGCCTCGGATGGTGACTATGGTTATTTTCTGTCTTGCTATCTTTGTTGAGAATTTGAATGTGCTCCATTTCTGGAATTCTTCATTGCTTGCTGGTCTACCAGATCTTTTTTAGGCTCTGTCTACCTCCTGTTTCCCCTGTTCCCTACGCCTCCTCTGCACTTTGTCACAATTTTTGTGTATAGTCAACACAGCAGATGTGGGATTTAAAAAAAATGGGAAATCCCATGTGTGAGACACTTGGTGCTTTCCTGGCATGCCGATGCCTTGCAGCTGAGCCAGCAATCTGGTAACCCATGCAGGGCTCATTATCAGTGAATTGGTGCAAATCACTGAAGTCTAATGGGAGAATTAAGGAATCCAAAGGAGCTTTGCTGGACGCTGCCATGGTGACCTGGGATTCCTAGTCTGGCACCAAGCTGGTCCTCAGTGCTGCAGTGTCTCCCCTGTACTCCTCCAATGCTCTTCGGTGGGGACAGAAGCTATTTTTCATGGTTAGATGATTTTCAGACTATGCTGAATAATATTTTCTCTGTGCTGGGTTTTGGAAGCACCTTGTTTGAATAATCTTCAAGTGGATAAAGAATCACTTAGTTCCCCTAAATCCCACAAAGCAGATTTAACTTAGGGAAAAGACTGAACTTAGCAAGCACGTTGAACATAGGGCAAAAGGCGAACAGAATTAATAACAGAAAGGGGGACTGAACCACGGTGGGACAACAGTATCTTTTGTGAAGCCTTCTCCTTTGAAATTTTTAGGGCTTAACTGCTTTATTCACACTACTTTATAAAAATTAAACCTCTACATTTGGAAAAGGC